GTACTCTCCATCCGCACCCTGTGGACTCTGTTCTTGCTACTCCCCAGACTCGGAGTTCTCCTTCCCCACCTTCATCACAGAAGTCAACTTTCTGTAACTACTGTCAGAATCGCAGTCTTCCGTCGACTCATCTTCTGGTTAATTGTCCTGTTCGCCTCTGTCGGTTTTGCAACAAGACTGGTCCTGGTCATCTCCAGCAAGATTGCTTCCGCAATCCCGCCCGTGCTTCTCGCAATGGTCCTTCCCCCGGGCATTTTTCCCGCAGCACCTCACATAGTTCTGGGACTCCGTTTAAACCACCCCCTGCTCAATGCACTGCTGCTGCTGCCTCAGAGGATTTACCTTCCCCTGTCCCTATAGATCCTTCCACTCCAGTCTTCTCTCACACAGATGTCGAAGCCATGTTTCAACATTTTTGGCAAAAATCCGGTACCCCTTCCTCTACTGCTTTGTCTGTCACCTCAGGTAACACTTCCTGGTACTTTGACTCCGCTTGTTGTAATCACATGACCTTTGACTCTACTATTTTTACTCCTCTCTCTTTTACTCCTCATGTTCCTTCTATCCATACTGCTGATGGGTCTCTTCTGTCTGTAAGTCATGTTGGTTCTGTTTCCACCTCTCACTTATCTTTATCCCATGTCTATCTTATGCCAGCACTCACTTTAAATCTTATCTCCATTAGTCAATTATGTGAGCATGGTCTAACTGTTACCTTTTCTCATACTGGTTGTTTGGTGCAGGACCCTCAGACGGGGCAAACTCTTGGGATAGGCCGTAAGCATGGCCGCCTCTACGAACTTATCCATCTTCATGTTCTGGATTCCTCTCAGATCACCGCTCCTACCACTGCTACCACTGCTCCTCGTTTATCTCCTTTTCAGCTTTGGCACTGTCGTTTAGGCCATCTTTCTGCTGGTCGTTTAAAAACTTTAATTTCTAGTGGTCATTTAGGTCCTATAAGTTCTGATACTTTAGATTGTTTGTCCTGTCAACTTGCCAAACAACCTGCTTTATTATTTAATAAAAGTGACTCTGTTTCTCTTGCACCATTTGATCTCATCCATTCTGATATTTGGGGACCCTCTCATACTCCCACTATGGGCGGAGCCCGCTATTTTGTTGTTTTTATAGATGATTTTTCCCGTTTTACATGGTTGTTCCTTATGAAAAATCGCTCTGAACTCAAACAACTTTATTACAACTTTGCTACAATGGTTAACACACAATTTTCTAAAAATATTAAAATTTTTTGATCTGATAATGCTATGGAATATAGGGATCTTGATTTTCTCTCTTTCCTTCAGCGTCACGGTACTCAGCCTCATCGTTCCTGTGCTGGCACATTCCAACAAAATGGTCGTGCTGAAACGAAGCATAGGCATATTCTTGATAGTATTCAAGCTCTTCTTATCTTCTTCTGTCTTCCTCTTGTCCGGAACATTTTTGGGGAGAGGCAGCTCTCACTGCTGCTTACACTATCAATTGTATCCCTACACCTGTCATTCATAATCACACTCCTTATGAGCGTCTGCATGGCACCCGTCCCCCTTACACCAACCTTAGAGTCTTTGGCTTTGCCTGTTTTGTTCTTCTCCAACCTCATGAACGTACCAAACTTGAACCTCGTTCCCGCCTTTGTTGCTTCTTGGGCTATGGTATTGAACATAAAGGGTATCGTTGTTGGGATCCTCTCTCCCAACGACTTCGTATCTCTCGTCATGTGGTCTTTTGGGAACACAAAATGTTTTCCTCTCTCTCTCTCTTCCGTTTGTCCGTTCCCTCACCCTCTCTGTTTTTTACTGATCCTTCCACCGATCTGTTTTCTGATGATCTTCCCCCCCCCCCCCTGCCAGCCTCTCTCAAGTCTTCTGATCCGCTTCCTCCCCCGCCCCTACTAGCTTCTCTCGAGATCGCCTTGCCTCCCGGTCTGTCCCATGCCCCTGCTCCCTCTGATGGTCTTGCTCTTGCTCCTTCGAGCTCCTCCCCTCCTGCTGAGTCTCTTCCTCTGGCTCCTCCTCCGTATGCTCACCCACGCCGGGTAACCCAACCTTCTACTCGTCTTCGTGACTTTATTGTTGGTTCTACTGCTTTTTCTACTTATGAACCGACCTCCTATCGTGAGGCTCGCTCTAATCCTCTTTGGCAGCAAGCTATGACTACTGAATTGCAGGCTTTAGCCAAAACTCATACTTGGGACATTGTTGATCTTCCTCCTGGCAAGTCTGCCATTGGCTGCAAATGGGTATACAAAATCAAGACTTGTTCTGATGGATCTATTGAGCGCTACAAAGCCCGCCTTGTTGCCAAAGGCTCTACTCAGGAATATGGTATTGACTATGAAGAGACCTTTGCTCCTGTTGCTCGTCTCACCTCTGTTTGCAGCTTGATTGCTGTTGCTACCTCCCGCCAATGGGATCTTTATTAACTGGACGTCACCAATGCTTTTCTTAATGGTGTTCTTCTCGAGGAGGTCTACATGCAACCTCCTCCTGGGTCTACTTATCCACCTCATAAAGTCTGCAAACTTCGGCGTGCCTTATATGGTCTCAAACAAGCTCCACGCGCTTGGTTTGCCAAGTTCAGCTCTACTATTCATGAATGTGGTTTCACCTCCAGCTCTTATGATACTGCTCTTTTTATCCGGAAAACAGCTCAAGGGACCACCCTGCTTTTACTTTATGTGGATGACATGATTATCACCGGTGATGATATCGATGGTATTCTTCGCCTTAAACAGTTTCTTAGCCATCATTTCGAGATGAAAGACCTTGGTCCTCTCAGCTATTTCTTGGGGTCTTGAAATCTTCCATGATTCTACAGGTTCTTTTCTCTCTCAGGCTAAGTATACCTCTGATCTTCTCACCCGTGCTGGTCTTACGGATTGCAAGACTGCCTCTACTCCTCTCGAGCCTCAGAGTCGTCTTACACCTCTTGATGGCACTCTTCTCTCTGATGTTACCCTATATCGTCAGCTGGTTGGCAGTCTTGTCTATCTCACTGTTACTCGTCCTGATATTGCCTATGCCGTTCATATTGTCAGCCAGTTTATGTCGGCTCCTCGTACCCCTCATTATGCTGCCTTAATTCGTATCCTTTGGTATCTCAAAGGCACCATGTTTCATGGTCTTCATTATTCCGCCCGCTCCTCTCTCCAGCTTCGTGCTTTTTCCGATGCTGATTGGGCTGGAGATCCTACTGACCGCCGCTCTACTACTGGGTTCTGCTTTTTTCTGGGTGATTCTCTTATTTCTTGGCACAACAAGAAACAATCTCTTACTGCTCGTTCCAGTACTGAGGCCGAATACCGTGCTCTTGCTGATACTACTCAGGAGCTTCTCTGGCTTCGTTGGCTTCTTGCTGATTTGGGTGTTCCCTCCTCTGGTGCTACTGACCTCTTTTGTGACAATCACAGTGCTCTTCAAATTGCTTACAATGATGTTTTTCATGATCGCACCAAGCACATTGAGATTGACTATCATTTTATTCGTCAACACGTTACTCGTGGTACTGTCAATCTTCATCCGATCTCTTCTGTTGATCAACCTGCTGATATCTTCACCAAAGCTCATGCTCCGGGCCGCTTCCTTGAACTTGTCTCCAAACTCCAGTTGGTCAATGTTTTTCCACCTTGAGTTTGAGGGGGGCTGTTAATGTATAAATGTAATGTATATAGTATAATATATTATAAGATAACACATAGACAGCATAGGGCATAGGATTCTCTTCTTCTTTCGGTTGTAAAGACCAAACACCACTCACACACCATCATTATTATGTCAAACACCACTCACACACTTTCATTATTATGTCTTCTCCTTTCGGTGCTTTCCCTATAAATAAGCATCACTCTTGTAACCAACTGATTTAGAAAATACAACATTTTATTCAGATATCTTACATATCTCACAGTTTGAAAACTCTTAGTTAATAGTGGAATCGGATTTCGGTTCTGTGGATGTATTTCACATCAAGAAAACCATATAAAATTCTTGTGTCGTTATTGATTTAATTTTTCTGTATTAATTTTTATTTTTATTAATTAATTTACTTGGGAAAAATCATCAATTTTTGTTTACAGTTGAAACATGGACTCATCTATTAATATAATCACTGACACTGCCAAGATGCTAGGGCAGTGCACATGAAACCAATTTGATGCAGTTTTCATGCTAAATTAACAAAGCAATGTTGAAACATTGACTCATCTATTAATATACTCACTGATTGCCAAAATGCCAATATAGGGTGCACAAAATTAACAAAGAGAGTTCTCCATCTACAGACTATTGGTCGCTATGATCTAACTTACAATCAATTTTACGAATTTGTCCCTTTAGCTCCAACTCAAAATGCGTCTTCATAATAGAGATATTTTGTACCATTATCTTGGACATCATCTACCACCAATGTGGGATGCAAGCATTATGAAGTCACCCTCTCGCAAAAAAAACTTCTTTTTCTTGAGACAAACACAACGGCTATTATGATTTATCATTACAAAAACATCAATGTCAGTTTATTTTGGATAAATTTTATGCATAAAAATACTATTTATAAATCATTTTTTTTTTCCTTAAAAAGAAGCCGATCATGTTGAAAAAATAAGGCCCAACTGTCTCGGTAAAAGCGCCACACCACTTGTCCAAAGAACCAAAGCAATTTTGGACGCTTGCTTGTGCCTAAACAATCCAATATAATTAACTTAACAGTGGCACTGGTTCGACTTGGGAGTTAGGTAGCAAATGCAGTAAATTGCACCCATTTTGAATTGAAAATGTTATTGGTTAATTCAATTTTGATATGCGTGTAAATTCAACGATTTTTATATCAAGATTCCCCTCAGAGAAATAAAAGATTGTTTATTTCTTCGCTAGACAAGCGAAAATGAACTGCTGCAGGAGTAGGACAGTCTTACCATGAAACCAGTGGGATGCACATGTCCTTAAAGCAATGTTGGAAACATAAACATATATGTACACTTCTTTATAGGCACGCATGCGAATTTTCCAAAGCTAAACCTTTGTAAAAAAAAAATTGGTCATTCAGTTTGGCAAAGCATTTGCAATTTCATTTTTGAGCCTAACACCTTGAATCCAGAAAGCAAGTGACCATGGCTGTTCCATTTCTTCCGTTTGTGCTTAAAAATCTCAACTCCTTGATCCAAAATGAGGTGGGATTGCTCTGTGGAGTAAACACGGAGATGGAAAAGCTTTCAAGCACTCTCTCCACCATCCAGGCTGTCCTTGAAGATGCAGAGCAAAAGCAACTGCAAGACAAAGCTATACAGAATTGGTTGAAAGAACTCAATGATGCGGCCTACGAGGCAGATGACATCTTGGATGAGTGCGCAACCGAAGCCCTCCAATGTGAATTAAAAGGCCAAGGTTATGGTTCTCTCAAGAAGGTAAGCACTTCTTTGTTAACTTGTTATCCTGTTCAGAATGTTCTGTTTCGTCACAAAATAGGGAAGAGAATAAAAGAGATTACACAGAAGTTGGATGCAATTGCTGCTAATCGCAAATTTCACTTGACCGAGGGAGTTGTGGTGGTGACACGAGTTGAATATGACGTAAGCCGTGAAACCAGCTCCGTTATCACTGAACCACAACTCTACGGAAGAGATGGAGATAAAGAAAAGATTGTCAAATTTCTAGTCGAGGATGTATGTGATATTGAGGATGTTTCTGTGTATCCTATACTTGGTATAGGCGGTCTTGGAAAGACAACCCTCGCGCAAATGGCCTTCAATGATGAGAGGGTCAAACCCCACTTTGATCCTAAAATTTGGGTTTATGTTTCTCAGGATTTTGATGTGAAAAGGGTGATCAAAGCAACAATAGAATCTGCAATTGGAAAAGCTTGTGAGGCAGTTGACCTAGACTCACTGCAGAGAAAACTTCGCGACATGCTGAATAGGAAAAGATACCTGATTGTACTAGATGATGTGTGGGACGAAGATCCAGACAAGTGGGATGCGCTCAAGTATTCACTAGCATGTGGATCAAAAGGTGCTTCCATTATCGTCACTACTCGTGTTGATAAGGTTGCATCAATCATGGGAACTATTTCACCGTATCGCTTGTCAGTTTTATCCAAAGCAGATTGTTGGTTGTTGTTCAGGCAACGAGCATTTGGACTTGGAAATGAAGAACGCCCAAATATTGTCGCCATTGGGAAGGAGATAGTGAAGAAGTGCGGAGGTGTGCCTTTAGCTGCGAAGGCCCTCGGAGGGCTAATGCGCTTCAAAAGTGAGGAAAAAGAGTGGCTTCATGTTAAGGAAAGTGAAATTTGGACATTACCCCAGGACAAAAATTCCATCTTGCCTGCCTTAAGACTAAGTTACTTTTATCTTCCATTGGAATCAAGACAATGTTTTGCTTATTGTGCCATTTTTCCAAAGGGTTCTCAAATTCGAAAGAGCGACCTAATTCATCTTTGGATGGCTAATGGCTATATTTCATGCAAAGGACGATGGGAACCGGAAGATATTGGTGATCAGATTTGGAATGAATTATGTTTGATATCTTTTTTCCAAGAGGTGAAGGACTACGGAAGTGATATATGTTTCGAGATGCATGATCTTGTGCACGATCTTGCCCAATTAATTATGAAGGGTGAATGTCAAATGATCGAGTTTAACAGTTCAAGTAATATATACAACGAAAAAGCTCATCATGTAACATTGGTTGTTGGGCCTGCGAATCATTTTAATAACACATTTCACAAAGTTGTATCCTTACGGACATTACAACTGCAATGTCTGTCAAATTACATATTAGAAGATGAGTTTTTTTTGTTTGATTTGAGAATGTTTGGTTCACTGAGAGCTTTTGATGCACAGGGCAGAGTGAATGAGTTGCCACCTTCAATTGGCAACTCAAAACACCTGAGGTATTTGAACCTTTCCCATTCTGTTTTCAAGCAACTTCCTGATTCAATTTGTAATCTCTTGAATTTGCAAACATTAATTCTAGACTACTGTATGGAACTTGAGAGATTGCCCCAGAACATGAGGTACCTGAGAAGTCTCCGACATCTTTTTCTGTCATGGTGTCGGTTAATTGAGATGCCCCCCAAAATTGGGCAGCTAACTAACCTGAAGACATTAAATAAATTTGTTGTGGGTAAGAGCACTGATTGTAGTCTCCTAGCTGAATTGAAATGCTTAAACCTTCAAGGAGAACTTTGGATCTGCCACCTTGAGAGAGTGAAAAATCCGATGGATGCAAAAGAAGCCAATTTAGTGGGAATGCAAAATCTTAGTCAGTTGCAACTAGACTGGAGATATGGATTGGATGAATGTGAATCACAGGAAAATGTTAAATCTGAGCTAGTACTTGAAGCCCTTCAACCTCATCCAAACCTAAAGAAGTTGGTCATAAGCGGGTACAATGGTACTCAATTCCCGCTCTGGATGAGGGGTTCAGATCTTCAAAATGTAGTCAATATCCAGCTCTCCGGGTGCAACAACTGCTTACAACTTCCACCGCTTGGACAACTACCTTTGCTACAAAGCCTTAAAATTGATGGAATGGAAGTAGTGGAGTGTATTGAAAACGAATATCCTGGCGGTGGAGGATTCCCATCTTTGGAAGAACTCACAGTTCACTATTGTCCGAAATTGGAAGGTTTGTCAAGGGAGGAGGGAAGAGAGTTGTTCCCTCGTCTTCGTAAGATAGATATTATTCATTGTCCTAAATTGAGCTTCCCGCATCTTTCGTCTGCCAAAGAATTGTTGTTGGCTGGCGAGTGCACCATGGTACTAAATTCAATATCAAATCTTAATGGCCTCACTTCCCTCACTATTGGTTATGATGACGAGATGGTTTGTTTTCCAAAAGAGTTTCTGAGGAACCTTACTCTTCTTGAGTCACTAGTGATTGACAATTGTCGTGAACTTAAAGTGTTGCCTAGAGACCCTGCAAGCCTTGTCACATTGAAGTCATTGAAGATCGAAGGATGTCCAAAGCTCGAGTCTTTGCCAGAGGAAGGGCTACGAGGCCTTGAATCTCTCCAATCGTTGCACATTATCTGCTGCCGTGAACTGGAAAAGCGATGTGAGAAGGGAAAGGGGGAGGATTGGTATAAGATTGCACACATACCAGAAATCACTATTAAGGTATATGATTCTTCTTTTGCTCATTGTATTACTAGTTGGTTTATAACTGTAACGCACTATATTAAATAAATAGCAAAGGGGTAACCCATTTATAAATAAATAATTTTTAAAAAAAAGAAAATCACCAAATAGTAAATTAACATTCACCTTAATTTGTTAAGTATCTAAATTTGAATTTGTATATTTTCTCCAATTCGTAGGAGTTGTTAAACAAATTAATCTCAAATTGATTGAGATTTCAATAGCAAGGCTCCGTTTGTTCTGTTATAAAATATTTTTCATGTAAGGTAATTTTGTCCAAAAAGAAATTTTTATTTTTATTTTTATTTTTGGATGTTTGGTTATCACTAAAATATTTTCTCCAACAAAAATATTAATAAAGAATTAATTATAGAGTAAACTTAAAAAAAAAAAATACAAAAAGATAATATTCATATATATAGTTTTCGTATAAGATTAAACACAAATGACGTGACGACAATACTCTTACAATTAAAAATTATAATAATGAAAATTTTGTTTCCAATGAGTGGATATAAATGTAATATACCATTATATATAGATTTTTTGTATACAAATTATGTTTGTATATCATTAATCAAGGGATAAAAGATAGTTTTAGTCCCTCAACCTTCAATTTTGTCATTTTGGTCCTCAAAGTTGTCAATTTGAGTCAATTTAGTTCTATCTCTAACGTTTGTTTACATTGATAACGGGAAAAATATTTTTTCTTTTGGTAAAAGATAACTTTGGTCCCTAAAGTAACAATTTCTTGTCATATTAGTCTCTCAAGTATTAAATTTTGTCATTTCGGTTCTCAAAGTTATTAATTTAAGCTATAACCAAATTGACAACTTTGATAACTAAAATGACAAAATTTAAAACTTGAGGGACTAGAATGACAATAAACGAATATTTTAGAGACCAAAACTATATTTTATTCATATTCCTATTATCAATGTAGACTCACGTTAGACCTATGACTAAATTGACTCAAATTGATAATTTTAAGGACCAAAATGACAAAATTAAAACTTAAGGGATTCAAATTGATAATTTTAAGGACCAAAATGACAAAATTAAAACTTAAGGGATTAAAATAAAAAACATCGCATGTTTTAGGGACTAAATTGTCTTTTATCCTTATTCAAGAATAAAAGAAGACAAGGATTGAATATAACAACAATAATAACCCCAAACCTTAACTTTGAACCTTAATTTTGATCAATTGCTCAACCATAATATATATATATATATATATATAGGTATATATATACATATATGTATGTAGAGAGAGAGAGAACAAAAATATTCAATGTGTATGAAAGTAATGAGATTTGATATATATACATCAAATAGTACTAATCATGATATTTTATGGCCAAATAAACCTATCCTAAGACATTGGGTGTAATCATGCACTTGGACTTGTGTGATGAATAGTACCTCTCATGACAAACATTTGTCATAAAATTGATCAGGCCTGACATGTTTTGCATGATTCATAATTTGAACTTCAATTTTCATTGTCAATAACAATTATTGGTTAGAAATAGTTACATATTTTCTTTGAATTGTTTTTTGTGTTTTTTAAAGAAAGCTTGCCCAAAGAAAATTTTCAAATTCAAGTGTATCCGAACTACTTGAATTGAAAGAATTCATCTAATGGTTGGTTTATTTAGTTCTAAACCTGGCCTTATAATAGCAAAATCTGAGCTAAATGTTCTTCCAAGCTCCTTTCCATCAATATGGTCGACTACTTCTTTAGCTTTTTTTATAGCTCTCATCGTCTTACCTATGTTTCATCAATGATGCATACATACATAATGTGTGACAACAATCATTATGAAATGGTGGTCAGCAGCTAATTCATATACAAGCAGGACAAATTAATGTAACAAATTATTTGGAGAAGGCAAATCATTTGTTTTTTTGAACTTGATTATGTTTGAAGAACATAAATCATTTATTTATTTTTATGTAAATCAAAGATCACAAAACATGCAGCGGAATAAAGTGTTTAGAGCATACCTCATTTGATCTAAAACCTCGTGGATAAATCACGTGCTTCCAGAACGTAATCAATCAATCCCAGCAGTGGGGTGATATTACAATGGTGAATATCACCCACACAAACCACAGTGCAAATGACTTGATCGTTGTTTCTTGGGAGAGAGTCAGTTTTATGGGTAGAAACAAAACATACGTTGTTTTTTTTCTTGGTTACCCATAACCATATATCAGATATATAATATATTTATCTCATTTATCCATTTGTTAAATGAGATAATATCTGATATCTATATCATCTATCCATATCATGATATGATAGATATATATCCTGAGTGGCTCATCCAAATAGGTTTGAATTCAAATTCAAAACCCATTTGGATGAGGTTCAAAAGGTTCTAAGGGTCATGCCACATGGGCGCCCAATTTCTAACAAACCTGACCTATCTAAGATGGTCTATTCGGATTGGTTTGCTTCAAAATGGCCATAAATGTCTAAAGTTTACTTTCTATACTGCTGATTGTATGAATGTGTGGTTATCTATGACAGGGCGAGTACACCCAGGACCTTGAGAGCTCATTGAGTACTCCATAATTCAGAGATTGTATGTTTCATCTTTTATAGGTTTTTGTTTTCTTTTGTTTTTCTGTGTCATTGGAGGTAATATTATTGCTTTTGTAATAGCAGGTGCTGCCATGCTCTTTGGGTCACGATGGCTGCTGCTAGTATTGAAGTGGCTGTGGCATCGGATGCTTTGTTGGTGGGAAGGTTTTGGGTTGTTCATGGGTATGAGATTATCTAATAGGAGCTGGATCAAGTCAGCTATTCTGTTATCCAACTCTGCTATGTTAGTTTCTTTTATGCAAAATAAAGATTAAATGTAGACCATATTTGCCAGTGTGTAATAATGTTCGTCACGGTGGATATTGGGGCCTCTAGCATGCCATATGACCTGTTTTTGTGCCTTTTATTGTCTGAGATGATTTGAAATTCAATTTCTGCGGATAATTATTTGTGAGAATGTTAATTTTGAAGTCTTTTTACTTGTGTCATGAGTTGTGTGGATTATAGCTTGCATAAACTCTACAAATTAATTGTCAGTGTGTATGGAACTCCACGTGGAACATATTTGCACAGGTCACACTTGATGAACTGTTCATTAGGGGGGCGACCACCAATGTTCCAATGCCAAGTTGGTAGCTAAAATACGAATCCCCTCTTGGATTTACAAAGCTATAAATTTTCATTAAATACCCCTGTGTCTCTCAAAGAGTACACAGCTTCATGTTCCTGAACATAATTGTCAGTGTGTATGCCTAAATTAACATGAACTCATAAGCCCCTGTGTCTCTCAAAGAGTACTAGAAACTCTGCACAGCATATTGAAAATGTCTAAAATCAAGGAATACACAGGCCCTGAGAAATTTCCTTTTATGTGAGCCCTCTCCATACACCAATTGGTTGTGTAATGAATGCAACAAGCTAGTATTTATATTGGTACCAAAATCAAGGATTAAAGAACAGGACAAAAACTATTTGAGGAAAAAAAAAAGAAAAAACTCCATATTCATCTTGTTCATAAATAACAAAATTTTCAGTTTTCACACTGAAATTAACAAACAATTGCTAAATGTAGTTATAAATCTCCCCTAGAATGTACATATGAGCTAAATTTTCATGGTGTCCATTGATCTGTATGGGGAACAACATGGTAAACACAGCATCGCTAACCCAGAAACTCATTCTCTAAACCATAGCATACATATATATATAGTTATGTACAACTTTTATTCTGACACTATTCGCTGTTGATTCAAATGGTAGGGATTGGTTCTTCAAGGGCAAAAAAATAGAGCATACGTTTTTGCGTTTCTACTTATTGTTTTGATTCAACTATACGAGAAAACCGAAGAAAAATCAATTATAATACAATTATTATGATTCAATGCTGAGGCTGTGTCAAGAATATAATTTATTTACTAGAAAATTTACCTTTCTCACAGTATAAGATCTTTCCAGCTTTAGTGAAGATAAGCTCTGGGAAGGTGGACACTTGTAGAGCAGAGACCAAATCAAGCTCAACAACAGCATCTATTGCAACACACTGTTTGGTAGTTGAAAATAAAATAAATGTTAAAAGGTGGGATGACGAGAATAAAAAATAAGTAAATGGCTTTACTTACTCTTGGTGATGGTAGCCGACAGTTCCATATGATATTTACAGCTTTCTCCAATTCATCCCGCATCCTTTCATTTTTCAGTGGTCTGCAGAGATTCATAAGTTTTCATTAAATACTAAAAATATACTCTATAATAAATCTAGCATTTTTTGCTATAAAATCAATCATGAAAGTTTGACATTTCATTAAAAACATTCTGATAGCTTCCAATGCACCATGGAAAATCAACATCAATAAACATCGCCAATTAATTGACCCAAGCCTTTAGAAATCAAATAACAAACATAATTTTTCTTTCCCTTATTAGACAGTGATTGTTGTAAGCATACAAGAAATTGTGAAAGAACACTCGACTTGAGTAGTCAAAAGTAGCAATATAGAAAAGTGTGAAAGGTCAGAAGACCAATTAATCCATGTGCATTGACCCATTGGAAGTGAACTTCTATGAGTAGAATGAGAAGATTGAACACAGATTCAATGTGTAAACCAGATAGTCATCAATCATGTTAATAGATAATATACATCACACTATAGTACTATAGTGCATTTGTAGCTGTAAAGGGCAAACACCCACTACCACACACGTTCAGCTTTAGCAGTAGCTTTTATATTGGTTTAATAGAGCCTTTATGCTTTCGGTGCTCCGTTGTCTCTTTCTCCTTTCTATAAAGAGAGAGCTCATTCTCTTGTAAATCACAAGTACAATTACAGACATTGAATATATCAGTCATTCAGTCTCTCTCTTTTCTCTCTCTCTCTTTACCAATCTTACATGGTATCAGAGCACGGTAATACAATTCTGGCATTCTTCAATTTTGGTGCTTAGTCCCGTACATAGTGGAACTACACCAAACAGCTCGGAATCTCCTTACGATTCTAACGACACCAAGCCCGTCACCAGAAACGCTCTCACGCGCTCCCACGGGCCGCCCTTTTGCTCGGCGCGTCTCTGCTTCCGTTGCCACGCTCACACGCGCCTTCCACTCTGCTCTTTCGTGCGCCGCGCCTGCTACCGTGCACCCGCGTGCACCATTTGTCTACCGTGAGTCGCGCGTGCGCCGTTCCGCTATTGTGCACCCGCGTGCGCCATTCTGCTACTGTACGCCGCACGCCCTCTCTGCTACCGTGCGCTGCACGCCCTCTCTGCTAACGTGCGCCGCTGACATCATTTTCCATCCTGCTGACATCATCTCTGCACAGCCCACCTTTCCTAGCTATTTTCAACCTTCCGGACTCACTGGTACACTCTGTTTTACCTAATTTTGCTCTTACAGGTCTATTCCTATCAAATTAGCCCTACTCAACTATTATTATGGATCGTCATGATGCCTCCTATCCCATCTCCGTTATTTTGAATGGTTCCAACTATGTTCTATGGGCCCAAGCCATGTCTTCCTTCCTCAAAGGAAAGAAGCTTTGGCGAATTATCACCGGGGATATGACCCAACCGGTGAAAGACACTGCTGAAACTACTGTTTCTACTGCTACTCCTACATATGAAGACCGACTTGAGGAATGGGACAGTAAGAATTACCAAATCATTACCTGGTTTCAAAATACTTCTGTTACCTCTATTAGTCTTCAGTTTGGTCGCTTTCAACTTGACTCTGTCACTACTCCTGCAAAAGACATCTGGGATTTTTTGAAAGAACGATACCAGACTACTGGTCTTGCTCATCAATATCAACTTCAGAGCCAACTTCATCGGATGCGCCAAGAATCTAGTCAGTCCATCAATGACTTCCTTTCTCAAATGTACTCTGTTTGGGACCAGCTTACTCTTTCCGAACCGACTTGGCCTCACCGAGAAGATGCTGTCTTATTTACTGCTTATCGTAATCAGCAAAGGTTGGTGCACTTTCTCATGGCCCTCACTTCATCTTTTGAGCTCGTACATGCCTCTCTTCTTCATCGCCATCCCTTGCCCACTCTGGAACAAGCTATTTCTGAGCTGCTATCAGAGGAGACTCGTCTTGGTACTCTCCAAACTCATCATGTGGACTCTGTTCTTGCCACTCCCCCGTACCGGCCATCATTCACCCAGCGGACCACTGCCTGTCTCTACTGTCAGAATCGGGGCCTTTCTTCAACACATCTCCTGGTCAATTGCCCCGTCAGAACCTGCCGATACGGCAACAAACTTAGTCCTGGTCATCTGCAACAGGATTGTTTTCGCAATCCATCCCGCTCATCCTCCAATAGCCACTCTTCTCGCGGTGGTTCTTCCCGGGAGAGCTTTCATCGTTTCGGGAATCAGTCTCATTCCGGGAATCAATCTCATTACACTGCTGCTGCTACCTCTGAGGGTTTTTCTGAGTCTCCTGCTCCGTCTACCCCTCTCTTTTCTCCAACGGATGTCGAGGCCATGTTCAAACACCTTCTCTCCCCTTCTGGTACACCTCCTCATACTGCTTTGTCTGTAATTCCAGGTAACTCTTCTTGGTATTTTGATTCTGCCTGTTGTAATCATATGACGGATCTTGTTGACCTTCCTCCTGGCAAAACTGCGATTGGCTGCAAATGGGTTTACAAAATCAAGACTCATTCTGATGGCTCGATTGAACGCTACAAAGCTCGTCTTGTTGCCAAGGGTTTCAACCAGGAATATGGGATTGATTATGAGGAAACCTTCGCTCCTGTTGCTCGGCTTACCTCTGTTCGCAGTTTACTGGCTGTTGCTGCTGCTCGCCACTGGGAGCTTTTTCAAATGGATGTCAAAAATGCCTTCCTCAATGGTAATCTTCTTGAGGAGGTCTACATGCAACCTCCCCCTGGGTCTACTTTTCCCCCTCATAAGGTTTGCAAACTACAGCGTACCCTTTATGGCCTCAAGCAAGCACCCTGTGCCTGGTTTGCTAAGTTCAGTTCTACCATTCATGACTTTGGGTTCACCTCCAGCTCCTATGACTCTGCTCTTTTTATCCGGACTACTCCTCATGGTACCACTCTTCTCCTTCTGTATGTGGATGATATGATTATCACTGGTAATGATGCAGCTGGTATTCTCCACCTCAAACGCTTTCTCCACCGACAGTTTGAGATGAAGGACCTTGGTACTCTCAACTACTTCTTAGGCCTTGAAGTCTCTCATGATCCTACTGGCTCTTACTTATCTCAGGCCAAATATGCATCCGATCTTCTGGCTCGTGCTGGTCTTACTGATTGCAAAACTACATCTACTC